TTTTTAAAAGCGCTATATGTTGAGCCATCTCAGCTAGATTTGGCATGTGACATTTTTAGCGGCAATCATTGGTCGATTTTCTAACGTTGCCATTCGGGGAGTTGTATTGAGGCTTTTTTTTGTTGCCGTTTAAGAGAAATATATACTATATAGATTTTATCTATGATATCATTATTAAATAATAAAAAATTCCGACTTCAAACAAACTTTAACTACTTCATTATAGGACCATTTTTTCTATTACTATTACGCTGAAAAATTTTGGGATTGAGATTGATTTATAAAAAATAATTCATTTAGCTTATTATCTAATATTAATTTGATTTTTGAGATGAGTTTCGTTTGGAGGTAAGGCAGGTAGGATTTATCATAAACTATTTTCATTTTATAACCGTCGATGAACAGCCGATCCAATTTTTGGGTTTACAACTACTAATGTTCAACTCCGTAGCCTTGTCATTTTGAACCCAATACAGAAGACAAGGAAACTACTGGATCACTACCCCCAGATTTATTATGGAAACATGGAGGATTTTGTAACTCGACAGATTTAACATGCATCAGTCACCATTTACTACACGGGGAGTCTTCGGACGGGGGGATGAACCCACGACCAGAAATGGATTGAACCCACGACCTCTTGGACACGGGTCCAGTGCCCTATCAAACAGGTTATCCCGGCCCTATCATAAACTATGAACTTTTTAACTTTAAACTATTATTAACTTTAATTTTTTTTAGTATTTATATTTTTAGTAAAACAATTTCTACTGTTTTATGAAAAGAAACAACAATTATTAAAGAGCAATTATCGGGGTTGGTGAGCGTCAGGAAACAGGGGGATTTAGCCCCCTAGTGTAAAAAAAAAGCCCTTCGTTGCTTTTTTATTTATTTATTGCGTCAAAAGACTTACTAAGAATACTTTATAAAATAAATATTTAGTAATTTCAGAAACTAGAGTAAAAAAAAAGAAGAAGGAAGACATCTCTGTAGTGATGTTTCGGTAATCAATAACACTATCGTAAAGTCGAGTTGTGTTATATTAAAATAGGTATTATGATCTTCGGCCATTATAATCTGAAGTCAAGTAAAATTGCTGTATCCTATCCTTGAACCAAGAATTTCCTTGCTTTCAGTTCCGCTTAAACAGCAGAAGATTTGCATGAATGCTTTTTACACAAACATTATTTTTATGCGGTTGGTTGTACTGAGTTCCCCTCCCTTGCTTATTACCTTGACTTAGAAGTTTTGTAAAATATTAAACCTCCCCTCACCCCCCCCCCTAAAAAATTTACAACGATATTTGAAAGTTTTTTGTCATATATCAGCATATATGAAAGGCACAAGACCTTACTCACTTCAATCATCAATAATTCTTCCATTTCCTAATAAGTTAGAAAGTCAAAATTTGGAATATGTGTTCTTTCTGCAATAAATAGAAAAATTTAAGAAGTTTCATTTCGATATATTGTAATTATCAGGTAATTTTGTAATAATCGAACCAATTATCCGAAATTACTGTAACATTTAATAACACTTTTTCATCAAGCTAGATGTCTCAAACTTTAATGTGCACCGTATCTATTATAATAAAATGAAGAAAGTTTGCTCTGAAATTTTTTATCCTGAAATTTGGACAGCGGCAGAATAGAATTTATAGAATTTAGCATCTGATCTTAAAAATTCGTTCGAAATTTTTATTTAGTTCATTCGGTAGAGCCGTTTAGATTCGCCTTTGATTCGGTGTAGAAATCGTTTTCATCAGCGAGCTGCAGACGATTTTCTTTCTTTCAAAAGTTCTTAAGAATGTTTATATTGTAAGATATTTGAATGTAAGATATTTGTTAGCTTACAGCTCTAATTGAAAAAAGGAATATTCTGTAGAGCCGTTTAGAATTCGCTTTTGACTCGACTTAGAAATCGTTTTCATTAGCACGTTCTACACGTTCTTTAATATTTAATTATTTTTTAATCATTGTGTCAGATAAACTCAATCATCAGCTTGAACATGAAAACATTGACGATTTACGTCACCAAATTAGTATTCCTAAAGTTATTTAAAACCATGTGTTTGTTCATAGTTATGCTTTTAAAATGTATATCTAAAAATTAAATAATTTAAAACCAACAGTAATTAAAATAAAATAATAATAAGTTTTAGATTGAAAAACAAAATTATTAGTGAAAAAGTACTAATTCGATAGGAGAAATGTAATAAAAAATCGCTATAATCTTATTGATGCCAATGATACTTGATAAATTTGTTATTAGGTTTAATTAAAAACATCGAAGAAATCTAGAAAACAAAATTAATGGGAAAAAAGTGTTAATATTTCAGGAGAACCGAGGAAAGACGCCATACTATTATTGACACCAATGAGGCTAAATTAATTTTGGTAATGTATAAAAATTAAAATAAAATATAAGGTGCGTACTAAAAAGAAAAATTAATGGAGAATTGGTACAAGTTCGTTAATAAGAAACGTAAAACAATTATAGACGCCAATGAAGCTTATTTGATTATGGTATTAAATACTAATTGAAATGAAAAAATACGCTATGCACTATAAAGCAAAATAACTAAAGAAATGGTAATAAATATTTAAAAACGTAAAAATTCCCCATATTATTATTGATGCTTCATGAATTTTGGTCAAAACTACTAATTGTAATAAGAATAAGCAATATTAATGGAGAGATGGTACTAATCTGTTTAAGAGAAACGTAAAAAATCGCCAAAATAACATTATTGACGCCAGTGAAGCTTAACTAAGTCTGGTACTAACTGAAATTAAAAAACAAACAATAAATAATCTACATAGTGCAATGCACTAATTCGCTTAGGAGAAATGTTAAAAATTGCCACATTATTATTAACGAAAATGATACGTAATTAATTTTAGTAATATAGGAGCTACAGGTATTATAGAAATGGTATACCTGGTATCTTGACCCTGATTGTTTGTTGAAACGTGTATTTTGTTTACGTTAGCAATTGTTCTTTCCATTTTATGTCGAGTAAGCGAAGCCCGTCGAGTATCAATACCCTTAAGTAACACATTCTAAATTCTTTCACAAAGGTTCTTGCTCAAATATTTCAATTCTTTCACTATATATTTACACAGAGATTTAACACAAAGACAGGCACGAAGCCACGTGGAGCATAAACAAACTAATTATGCATCGATGTTGCCAGGTACACAAAACAAAAATATATCACAGTTACAATAAAATACATAAATTAATAATCAATCTAAGTTGCGTAAAAGAAGTTGGACGAGAAAGAATTACATTACATAATAATTCGATGTGCGATACGGCTCCGTATTTAATTTGTTAATTAACATACCTTTGGGGAAAAACTTAGCTCGACTTTAACAGGCCATTTTGCTTTTAAACGATCAGCCGGTGTTGATGTCATAGGTCACATGTGTGGGTACACAGGGTCTTCTTCTTCTTCTTGAAGTGCAAGTACCCAATTAGTGCAGTTTTAATAGGTACTAACGATACAAAGTTAGGTACATTAGGTATTTTTCAATTTCGTTTGCGCATTCGATAAAGAAGCAAATGTAACGTCACAAAACGCAAGTAAATTCAACTCTTTTTTATTTATTTATTTATTAAAACCCCGACGATTGCCTTTCAAGACGCTCCCTAACCCCCGAAGATTGCTATGTAATGTTATATAGTTCGCAAAGCAAATGTGCTCTAGCGTAAAATCTTAAGAACTTATCTTTATCTGATCATATTTATAATAAAATCTTTAAAAAAAATATCTTTAAAACTCTTTTAAAAATTACAATTTTTAATCAATAATAAGTTATTGAAATAAAATTTATATCTAAATAAACGACAAGCAATAGAAAAACTAGAAGAAACAAAACAATGATTATGCTTTTAAAAAATAACATGTATGACGGAACTTCTCTCATGCATTCTTTCAATGTTACGTTTTTTATACTCATCAACATTTTCTTCTGCTCTTCCATCATGCTTTTTTTAAATTTATTTTATTTATTTATTTACTGAGTAAGACAACGACTAATATACTCATTTTTCAATGAATAACAATATCAATGAAAAAAAATTATTATTAAACTTGCATATGCATTATGGGATGCCGGTAAGTGACGTTGTGTAGGTATTTCGATCTTGATTGGTTGTTGAAACATGGCTTTTGTGTAAGTTAGCAATTGTTCTTTCCATTCTATTTCGAGTAAGCCAAACCTATCTTAAGCGATTTATTCAAAATTCCAACACGAGGATTTCAATTCTTTCACTATATATTTGTTATTTAAACACGAAGACAGGCACGAAGCCATGTAGAATATAAACAATCGAATTATGCATCGAAGTTGCCAGGTACACGAAACAAAAATATATCACGGTTACAATAAAATACGTAAACAAATAATAAATCTAAGTTGCGTGAAAGAAGCACACGAGAAAGAATTATATTTCAACTAATTCGATGCGGCGCGATACGGCTCTGTATTTAATTAAGTTATAGTTAATTAACGTTTTAAATTATGTAGAGAAACTTACCTCAACTTTAATACGGCATTTTGCTGATAAGATTAGATGGCGCTGATCTCATAAGTCACATGTATGGGTATGTCAGGTCTTCTTCTTCTTGAAGTGCAAGTATCCAATTGAAATGTAATATAGAATATTTAAATTATCTAAATTATCCGCTTTTAATATTTAAATTAATTCCAACTTATAACTAAGTTTCAACTTTTTGCTGTCCACGAGAGCAAAGAATTTTCATTCAGAAACTTGTAATGGTTACGCTTTTATACTTATGACAGCTCACACGCTTGATACTTCAATTCTTTGAGGCCAACGCCAAAAAGAAATCAGGGCTTTCTTTGTCGCCGCAAATGAGAAATATAGAAATAGATTATAACGTTTCCTTAAAAAGCAACGACAATGATCATTTGACATTTGCTGATGTTGATATTCGAAAATTTCCTTTCAATATTTTTAATCAAAAAATTAAATATGGCATTTAAAAGGAGAAAAAATGATTTAAAAAAAGGACATAAAACTGAAAACATGCATTGATTTAGGCACTTTTATTTCATAGCTTGCTTATTTTTGTTTTCGAAATTATTGTATGCATTTAATACTGCAACTTCTGTAATTCCAACATGAGATATAAAATAAAAAAATCTACAATAACAAAAAGTAGTATGCTTAACGTTTCAAATGTTTTCATAAACCACATTTGATACAAAATTTAAAAAATAAAAAAAGCGTTTTTTGTTTATAGCCAGATAGGGTTATTTAACCTCAACATTTATTTTTTTTAGGTCACTAAAAAATTTGAAATTAAAAAACAATAGCAAAATCAGCAGATTTTTGAACAAAAATATAATGCATATTAGTCTGACAGATTTTTTTCTTTTTTAGAAAAAACTTTCAAATATAGCTCAACAACAATTACTACTATTATTACAACTATTACTACAACTATTATTACATAAAAATTAGAAGCGCCAAAAATGTTAACACTTTAAGTTAAAATAGCACTGTCATGAAGAAAAAGCGACAAATAAAATTTTCAAACGAACAATATTGGAGTTATATTACACATTTTAAAACATTTGTCATCAAATAGTTAAGCTATATTTTCAATTAGTTATCAATCGTTAATAGTAAAAGAAAGGAAAGTTTAAGCATGGAGGGAAAAGTACGCGTTAACGTATCTCAATAGATTACATCCATCCTTGTAACTTAAATATAAGAAATCAAGCGTGAACGAAACAATGACCCTCCAAATTAAAATGTTGACAGTTGTTTAATGCTTGGATGATTTCATAACAAGGAGCGCAACTGAAAGCTCTATTTTTCACTTAAGCCACCCTTAATCTTCAAATGACTAGTCCAATCTTCTTTGAGTAAAATAAATTATTAGTCTAAGTCCAAAGATAATATGTTTACCAAATGTAATATAAAAATTAAATTTCATCTTCTGGCAGAAACAATATTTTCTCTACTTTTCCAACCTTCGTATAAATACAAATGTTGTTTCACGTAGCATTATGATTACTTAGTCCACTTGTGTCCAAGATACAATGTTTGGAAAATTCGCTCTACTGCTCGGTCTCATCGGCAGGTTCTTTGCCATTGTTGACGCCGGCGATGGGACATTGAAAGCCTTAATGGATGACTCACCGGTCAGTAAACATTTATCGTCAGGTTTTAGGCATGGCGCAATTGATGAAAAGGAAATTTTAGAGAAAGTGAAAGGTCACGAAGAGGTCCACGCAATCGATTCCGATGGACTGGCATTGAAAGAAAAGGAACTGCTTTTGAAAAATCCAGAATTTCTGGGGAAAATATTGAAAATGGCGCTGGGTGAAAAAGAAGAGCTTGCGGAAGGTGATTTGAAAGCTGCAGTGATCCACATCATAAAACTGTTGGAGAGTACAGTTGGTGATGCGTTTTTGAAAAAGGAGGAATTTTCAAAAGTTCTAAAGCATCCACACGGTGTGGCAGACGCGTCGCTAAAACCAGAAGTTTTATATTCCAGTGACGAACATCTACATGATAAAATAGCAGACAAAGATGTGAAACCGTTCTGGAAAGATGAGGATATTAGGCTTTTCAAAGCCATTACAGAATTGAAAGCTTCCGAATCTATGGTGCCACCTTTTGGGAAACCTGTGTCAGAAGACTTTTTGAAAACCCTTTTTCACGGCGAAAAAGCATTAGAAGACGGCAAGCACTTAGATGTTCTAAAATCTTTAGAAGGATTAAAAGCGGAAAGTTTATTAAATAAAGAAAAATTGTTGGCAGCGAAAAATGTAGAAGCCAAAGACATCCCACATCCAATTGTTCTAGGAAAAGAACATTCTCTGAAAGATGAGAAAGCTTTCGCCAGTGAAGAGGAATTTAAGAACCACAAGACTTTTCACGAAGAAAAAGCAACTCATCACAAAGATTTTGTGTTCGACGAGATTTTAAAACACGAAGAGGCTCATGCTTACGGTGATGATTTAGGAACAAAAGAATCTTCTGAATTCGATGAAGAACTATACCCACATTCTTTTCTGCGTGAATTACACAAAACTAAAGCTGATCTGGATATTAAAAAAGACCTTTCATTAGAAGAGAAGGGTCTAAAAATTGATGAAGCCAAAGATAAAGGTATCAAACAGCTTGATAAAGCCAGTTTGGACACCTCGCTTGCGAAGAAAGGCCTTTCTTCAGAAGGCATCTTAAACAAAGAAAGCGCAGAAAAAGGTAAAAAAGTTGGTGAAGCCAAAGATATAGACATCAAACAAGGTGGCACTCATGCCTACGAGAAAGCAAAAGATCAAGCACATAAAGATGCAACAATACCTTTTAGTGAAGAAGGAAAAGATGAACTACTTCTCGATGAGGCTTTAAAAACAATTTTATCGGGTACCAAAGTAGAAGCGGGAAAAATCTTACCCGGAACAAAAATTTACACCGAAGAAGCACTCAAAAAAGAAAAAGCTTTAATTGACAGTAAAGAATTATCAAAAAAATTATTTGAAGAACATGATATCGCCAAAGGAATCAACCATGGAATAAAAACAGATGAAGATATTTCAAAAGGAATACGTCATGGTATTAAATTAGATGAAGACATATCAAAAGGAATACATCATGGTATCAAATTTGATGAAGGCATATCAAAAGGAATACACCATGGAATAAAAACAGATGAAGATATTTCAAAAGGAATACATCATGGTATTAAATTAGATGAAGGCGTATCAAAAGGAATACATCATGGAATAAAAACAGATGAAGACATATCAAAAGGAATACATCATGGAATCAAATTTGATGAAGGCATATCAAAAGGAATACGTCATGGAATAAAAACAGATGAAGACATATCGAAAGGAATACATCATGGTATTAAATTAGATGAAGGCATATCAAAAGGAATACATCATGGAATAAAAACAGATGAAGATATCTCGAAAGGAATACATCATGGTATTAAAATGGACGAAGAAATTGCAAAACGCATAAAAGAACATTTTGCTCGTGATAAACATGTGCATTTATCTACAACAGACGAAGTCCATAAGACTTTATCTAGAGATTCAATACACAGCAAAGCTCAGTTTCTAAAAAAGAAAGTTCTAGAAATTTTAAGTCATATTTTACAAATGAAAAAGTGCCATTTAGTAAGCATGAAACCAGGCGAGCTTCTATCGATAGTCAACTGCATATCAAAAAGTAAGTGAAAAAAATTATTTAATTTAAGCTTAAAATATGAATTGAAAACTTATAACTTACATAAAAGTAAAGATATTTTCCACTTAATAAAAAATGAAAGGATTTATTGTAAATATTAATTGAAAACTTATTACTTACATAAAAGTAAAGATATTTCCCACTTAATAAAAAAATGAAAAGATTTATTGTAATAAACAATACAAGTGCTCATAAAAAAATTAAGTATTAGCATTCTTGGAAATTTCTAGCTTTTGTAAATAGAAATAAAATGCAGAATTTTTTTTCTAATTATTTCTTTTTTTTTTTCTTTTTTTTTTTACAAATGGAGCAGGGGTAACTAAGACTGGGTACCTCAACTGTTTGGAAATAATTTCTATTTTCTAGCAGATTGGATTGGAGTCTAGAAAAATAAATTAATTCATAAAAAAAAGTAGTACATTAATGAATTTTCAGGAATGATATATTTTATTTTATACTTTATAACCATCGTTGAACTGCCGACCCGATTTCTTGGGTTTACAACTACTAATGTTCAACTCCGTAACCTAGTAATTTTAAACCCGATCCAGAAGACAAGGGAACTCCTGGATTAAGTATTGGGAGAAATTTGCCTTCGCGGAGGACTTTTTATTAAAAAACTAACCTGCAGTTAAGTTATATGGAGAGAAAAGCCACGAAAACCTCCCACGGTTAGACTGACGGCAAGGGTACTCTAACCCATGATCCGTTCTACCACTGAGGATATTTCACAACAGCACAATGGTCGGTGCAATCCGAATGCGGAATTAGTATCAACCAGCCATTGCTGGGAATCGAACCCAGTTCATCACGTTGGAAGGCGAACTCTCTATCCCCTGAGTTGATATATTGCACAAGACAAAATAATAAATATCTCGATTAAATCTGACAGTTAGTGGGTTAAACAGTTTAGCTCAACAGGCCTTCCAAATTAAGCTACCCGGTTTTAATTCACTTTCCCCTTTAACAACAAATAAAGCATATACACAATGAGCATAAATGAAAAAAGTTTAAGGCATGCTACTAAGACTATAATCGGTGTTAAAACATAAAATGAATGTTAATATGCTATGCTTTATTTATTCCAGCCCAAATTTTCCCATTTATGCTTTCATCAAAATTATCAGAACTTCAATAAAATAAAAACGTGAGTTAAGGAATAATTCGCGAATTAATTAAATTTTGAAGGGAAAAAATCTAGTAAACAAATATGCAGTGGTTCCAAGTTTATTGTTTGCTCTCTCTTCTTTATATGAGTGCGAAAGTAGTGTTTATAAGTCAGAAATAACTACAGACCGTGGCCAAATTATTAGACGCACTATAAGATTCTAAGTAAAATCTTAATTATCAGGTGATACTACACAGCTTTATTGTACTGAAACCGGTTTGCACTTGTTTACGTTCGTGTATCAATTGGTCAAATTAGGCGATAGATAATATAAATTAGACTATTGGATAAATTAGACGACATATTATATAAATATAAAATATATTTATTATATCAGGTATTATATTAGTATATTCTAATAATTATATCAAATTATCAGACGTGGTGTTTTTTTAATAATTACATGTTTTTCACGAGTTCGTATGCAATACTTTTATATTAAAACAGACGTGTAACGGGTTTTTATTCAGATTTTTTATATATTTCCCATTTGTATTTATTTTTAACGTATTGCATTACAATGTTAACCAATTGATACCCGAATGTAAACAAGTGTAAACCGGTTTCAGCTGCGTAGAAACAATAAAGCTGTATATTATCCATCTTATAATTTGGATTTTACATAGAATCTTATAGTGAGTCTGATAATTTGGCCACAGACTATATACTCTCTGTAGCACATTCAAACAAAAGAATATAGGTAACAAAATCAAAGTGTTATAAATTAAATCAAAAAGGAGAAAGAATGAAAAAACCAGTTCATAGTCATGAAACCTGCATTTACACTAATCGATATGATCTCCTTTTCAAGCTGACCAATTAAATTGTTAAACGAACATTGGTTCCATCATTATGCAAATATTGATTCAATTACAATGCCAATATTGAATATTGATCCAAAAGTTCCTTTTTCTTTTGTATTAAGTTCAAAATTACAAGGCTATAGAATTGAATATTGATAGCTGCAACAAGGGTTATAAAATTAAAATATTCAATAATTTATATCATTTTCGTGCACATACAAATCTAAAAAAACAATAAAACATTTTGTTTGTTTCAATAATAGGTAAGGATCCTATTCTCTGTGAAAAGTTTACCATGTGTGAAAAGAAAATGCCACCACAGGTAATTTTTAATTTGTATTAAGAAACTTTTTAATTTACAACTTTTAAAATAGATTCATTTTTATTTATTTTTTTATCAATCAGTTCTATTACATAAATTTTTTGAGAATGGCTTTTACGTATCAGTTCTACTGATGAAGTATTCTATGAATGATTTTTAATTATCAGCTCTACTACTCACATGTTTTCAGAATGGGCCTTAATTCTCAGCTTTAGTATGGAAATTTTTTAAGAATGGTTTTTACCTATCAGCTCTACAAATGAAGTTTTTTAGAAAATGGTTTTTACCTATCAGCTCCACTATTAAAGCTTTTTAAAATGGTTCTTATTTCTCAGCTCTGCTATTGAAAGGTTCAAAGACTGGTTTTTCCTTATTAGCCTTACTTTGAAATTTTTTTCAGAATTGTCATTTTCTACATACTCTACAACTGAATAACTTTTAACTCAAAGGGGTAATGAATTTCAAAAATATGTACTGAATCTCTAAAAGCAGAGTTGATAGAGAAAAACTATTTTAATACAGTATACTCTTGATGTGTTGAAAACCTTGTATTGTCAAAAAAATATTTTTCCCCTCGGCATTACATATCCACCTGATGTTAATTTAAATTCCTATGTCGAAGGGTTTCTTCTCAAAACCTTGTTACGCAGAATTTTTTTTGAAATAGAAAATGAATTTTTTCGGAAAAATCACAATGTAAGTTCATTGTTAAACCAAATCTTTTCTATTTAATGCATAATTATTTTTGTCTTACTTTTGAAAATAAAATTATCCTTGTTCTATTTAAACTTACAGCCAACTATCATTACATGCATATTTATTAGTAGTCATTCCTTATGCATGGCTCTACTTTTTAGAGTAATATTTTAAACTATATTTTTCCACTTTTTAGAATATATTTAGTTCTGAGATTGTTATCTCGAAATTGTTTTAGCATCCCTTCAACTTTGAGATATCGAAAGAATACTGTATTTAAAATTAGTTTCCATAATTTGGGTTTTGATTTTGTTATGTAACTAATACCAGCTACATTCTTTTTCAAATTTGCAGGTAATTCTAGCTCTTGAATTGTGCCAAAAAGAACTATTACCAGAACAAGCTTTAAGATGCTCAAAGTATGAGCCTCTTTTTCCTTCACCCGATATCCCAATCAAGGTAAATTGAATGCATTAATTCCTTTAATTATTAGTAAAATGTACCAAATCTTAAAAACAGAGGTGTTCTAATTCAGAGAGATTTGTTTAAAAGAAGTAAAGGGGTCTTTAGAAGAGATTGAAAGCAAATCACTCCTGCAACAGTCCATTGTGGTCATGGATGTTAAGGTTCCACAATTGTGTGACCAACAGTGTGATTAGCGTAATGGGCACAGGCCACCTTTACTTCCCAGGAAAGGTCATACCTATCGATCTGAAGCTGATTAGGCGTCAAGTCACCATTGAGAATCAAACCTCAGCCCATTACAAGGACAATGTAATAAGTTCTCGAAAAATGTAAATTTGGTATCAGTTAATTTAGGAATATGTTGTGACAATGTAAAGCAGTTTTTATTTAAAACCAAAGAAAAAAGGAAGAATTAAAAGCTTTTTAAGAGTATACCCTGATTATCGAATCAGACAACGTAAAACTGGGGATCCACTGCGTAGATATACATATGTGCGTGTGTGCTTGTTTGTGTGTGTGGTATAATATTTTATTATAATGTTCAATATTTTGTTTAGATTAGATAATGTTAAATAATAAACTAATTTATGTAATTCATTTAAATTTTGATAAATTTAAACAACATGTCCATATATTTAATTCTAATACTAATGTCCATATATTTAAATTTTACATGCCCATATATTTAATTTATATTCTGTAATAATGAAAATACAATGAATATTAGAAGTAGGGATGTAACGAATAGTGATTAGGCGGAATACCCAGCCAAAATAATGGGCCAAATAGCAAAAAAAAAAAAAATTTTAAATCATTAATAAATATTGTGAATAATTTTTTTTACATAGATAAAATATAAATAGTTTTATATGTAAATCAGTTCAATTATTATTGTCAAGTAATTAAAACTTAGCTATGTTATTGGTACAATGTGAAGGGAAAAAAACTACAATAAATATATTTAAGAAAATAAAGATAATCAGATATTAAGATCATTAGAAATATTTAAGATAAATAAAAAAAAAACTGAGTAAGTGCTATTAAAAAAAAAACTAAAGTGGTAAAGTTGGAAAAAAAGGGAAATAGAAGAAATTTCTTTTTAATCCTTAAAACAAAACTTTAATGCTAAAAATATTTTCTGAGGAAATAAAAATTAACCATAAAACGTTTAAAAGATATTGTCTATCAAGCCTGTAAATAACTTGATTAATAATTAACTTGTTCCTTAAATTCATTTAATTTCACAGACCCTCAAGAATTATTAAAATGGAGAAGGTCAAACTTTCTACTTTAGGATGTTTTTCAAAGCTTTTTCAAAAAAGAAACTTTAAAAAAAAAAAAAAGATAGAAAGAAAGGAAAAGAAATACGAGTGCCTTAAATTTAAAGCAAAGCTTTAATTCTATACCACACTATGTTCCTGAAAAGAATTGACTGAACTTAATTCCTGAAAAAAATTTTAAGCACTCAAAATTATAAATTTTTTTTTTAAAAATTGCTAATGAGTTAAAATTTTTACTTATAGAATGAAATTCATTAAAATCATTGTATAAATTTTAGCAATATATTGATTAAAACAATGCAGTGATAAAGAGACTTTTTGTTAAAAAAAAAAAATAGATCTTAAAATAAATGTCAAAAAAAAAAATATCTTAAACACTTTTCACATAAAAAGAAAAATGAAACTTAATAATAAAATTTTGCTCCATTTTTATTACCCGAACAGAGAAAAGAAAAAAAATAGGAGTAAACCTAACCAAAACCAAAAATTGTTTGTTACCAAACAGTTATAAAAATAGCACATTATAGGCTAAAAGGCATTGTTTCTTATGACAAAAGAGCCTTAAAAAAAATAAGAGCCATAAATTTTGATCTGCTTATACGAAGCACTTTATACGAAGCACAGATCACAAGTTCATAACCAAAACCATAAGTGTAGTAATTTTTAAAAAAATATAAAACAGTTAAATCAAACTTCAAATTTTAATAGTTGTCTTTTTCTTAATTTTTTAGATATTCCAGTGTATTATAAAGAATACTAGAGAGGTAAGTACTCGAAAAATTGTGCATGTAATTTTTGTTTTCTGCCTAGAAAATAAGCAGTTTTGATATAGAACGTAGTCTAGCATAAATTTTATAATTTACTAAATTTATTTAAAATTATTTTTAGTTATTGCCTGAAGAAAAGAAACAAATGATTGCTTTTGAGGTGAGAAAGTTTTCTTTTTGTATTTTTAAGAAATTTATTATGTATATACCAGTTAATATATAAGTCAATAGAAGATTTCAAATTCTTCAAAAATTAGGGGAAAAAGTATTTATTTATTTATTATTATTTTTTTTTTTTTTTTTTTTTTTTTTTTTTTTTTTTTTTTTTTNTTTTTTTTTTTTTTTTTGTGATCAAAAATATTTTGTGAAATTAAGGGTTACCAAGAATGCATTCGGCTAAAAGAGGTTTTTTTTCTATTATCTGCACAGCAAATGGACAAAAAATTTAAATATTTTTGTGCGATATCAAAAAATTTACATTATCAAAGTTAGTGTCATTGAGATTTGACTGTATTATTAACTTAATTTGACTATTTTAAAATATCTTCTTTATGAAATAAAACATTTTAGCGCAGCTTTCAGGGAATCAGACATGAAAAAAACAAAACTTACTCATAATATGTAAGTTGAATGTAAATTGATTTAAAGGATTTTAATTTTTGTCACAGCCCTATATAATTTCTAATGTGATATACGAGAAAATGTTAAAACATTCTTTAGAAATCAATAATTACAATTAATACATTATATAAGATGTATAATAGATAATAAAACATTAAACTAAATATTTTTTGTTAATCTTACTTTTATTTTAAAAAAGCATTTTATTTTAGTTTATTGAAAATAAATAAATAAAATTCTACAAAAAAAAAAATATATAAAAACCAGTTTTCATTTCAAAAACCTCGATTGGCGCATATAAAAAGCATAAACTTAAAATATTTATAAAAAAAATATTACATTTTAAACATTAATGCAACATATTTAACATTAGAGTTTAGTTTTTATCTAAATTGAAATTTAATAGTTTGATGCAATGTTGACTGAGTGATAATGTAAAATTATTCATTTTCGATTGTGGTAATGCTATGACAACATTGAAACAGCTGTTTCTAACTTAACAATTCAAATTGTGTTTTTATACCTTGATTACTATCCACATTATTTTTACAACTGAAGAAAAAATAAATGAATATATATTTATAATTAATATTGAAAACATTCTATATATATGTGTGTGTGTGTTACCGAGAATGACCAAAATCAAGAAAATGTCTACTTTCACAATTGAATGTCAACAATCACATAATTGCTTTGGTGAATGTCAGAAATATTTGTTACATCCGATTTTATAATAATTTATACATTGATAATATTATATTCATTCAATATTTTAATATCTGCTGAGGATAGGTTAAGAGAAACATCACTGTTCGGAGTAGCAGTTAAATGCAAATTGAGCAGTGGCACTAGACCTTAAAAAAACATTGATGTCGGGCATTCCAGGTAAATGCATACCAGGTAGTGGCACTTAACTTGACCTTGTATATATTTCGGACATTTACCAAAGCGACTATGTGATTGTCAACATTCACCAGTGGTGTGTTATAATATTTTATTAAAATGTTCAATATTTTGTTTAGAGTAGAAAATGTTAAATAATAAACTGATTTATGCAATTTTAAATTTTGATAAATTTAAACTGTAGCTCTTGCAAATTATTGTCCAGTTATTACATGTTCATATATTTAATTTATATTCTATAATAATGAAAATACAATGAATATTACAAGTAGGGATGTGACGAATAGTGATTAGGCCGAATACTGAATATTCGGTCAAAATAATGGGCCGAATAGCAACATTTTTTTTTAAAAATCATAAATAAATATTGTGAATGATTTTTTATACATACATAAATAAGTATAAATAGTTTTATATGTAAATCAGTTGAGTTATTATTGTAAAATAATCGAAACTTAGCTATGTTATAGGTATGAGGTGGAGGGAGAGAAAAAACTGTAATAAATATATTAAAGACAATAAAGATAATCATATATTAAGATAGTTAGAAATATTTAAGATAAATAAAAAAAAACTGAGTAAACGCTATTTAAAAAAAAAAAACTAAAGTGTTAATGTTGGAAAAAAAGGGAAATAACCATAAAACGTTAAAAAGATATAGTCTATCAACCCTGTTAATAACTTGATTAATAATTAACTTGTTCCTTAAATTCATTGAATTTCACAGACTTTCAAGAATAATTAAAATGGAGAGTGTCAAACTTTCTACTTCAGGATGTTTTTCAAAGCTCTTTCAGAAAAGAAACTTAAAAAAAAGAAAAAAGAAATACGAGTGCGTTAAATTTAAAGCAAAGTTTTAATTCTATACTACACTATCTTCCTGCAAAGAATTGACTGAACTTTAAGCCTGAAAAAAATTTTAAGCACTCAAAATTATATTTTTTTTTTTAAAAATTGCCAATGAGTTAAAATTTTTGCTTAGAGAGATAATGGGAAATTGAAATTCATTATAATCATTGAATAATTCTCAAATTTTGGCAATGTATTGATCAAAACAATACAGCGATAAAGAAATTCTTTGTTAAAAAAAATAGATCTTAAACACTTTTCACATAAAAAGAAAAATTAAACTTAATAATAAAATTTAATAATAAGCGAAAAGGCATTGTTTCTTATGACAAAAGAGCCTTAAAAAAACTCCATAAGAGCCATAAATTTTGATCTGCTTATAAGAAGCACTTATAAGCAGATCACAAGTCTATAACCAAAACCATAAATGTAGTAATTTTTAAAAAAATATAAAACAGTTAAATCAANATAATTTTCAAAGACTTTACATGATCATGATAAAATAGCTAATTTCTGATAAAGAACTCTTTTCTTGATTATATTAGCTACCATAAAAATATCAAAAGATTTTTCGGTAGGGTGGAGAATCAAGCCTGAAATTGAGAATATCTTACAAAATGCAGCAGAGCTGCACATGAGAGTGCAAGAATCTCACCGAACCCAGCTCAGTATACACACATGCGGACCCGCAAGTATTAGATTAAACGTGTAAAATAATTGGTTCCTTCATACGCTACTGGGTGACAGTAAGCCAAAATGCATCGTGTTTTAATGAATTGTGAAAACGTCGAATAGAACAATATGAAAACCACGCTTTTGCATACGATGCGACGAAAATCGACATGGTAAGGGAAAAAATCTCATTTTCGAAAAGGGAAAATTAAGCACTTTTTAAAGACATTAAAAAAAGCCCCCATTACAAAAAGCACCTTTAAGGGCTTTTAAAAAACAAAAATTGAAAATAAGCACTTTTTAAAAACGCTATGCAAAATGATAAATGTTTGAAGAAAAAAAAATTTTTCAGTTTTTGCAATTACATTTTGAAAAAAATATTAGTTTTCAGCTTACTTAAGCACTAAACAAAAATGGAGTTCCCTAAACAGTTCTCTTTAAACCAGATAGAGAGTTGAAGTAAACAGAAATATTTTACTGCTCTTGATGGAGATCACAAATCAGAGTCATCTTCAAACCTGACAGTGAGTAAAAATAGGACCCAGAAATTCTTTCAAAATTAAATAAATGAGTCAAATCCGTTTTCTCTAGACAAAAGTCATCTTCAAACCTAATAGTAAAGCTAAAATTAAAACCAATTCTATATGACTGATATAAGAGTCACTTAGGCCAGGATAGCCTATTGGTAGATCACCGGACTCACGTTCGTGAGAACGGGAGTTCGAATCCAGTCGGCTAAAATCTCCCCATGTAGTAAATGGTGCCTGATGCATGTTAAATCTGTCGTGTCAGAAAGTCCACCATGTTTACATAATAAATTATACCTCTGGGGTTACGGAATTGGTTGTTCTCTAGTTTAGGTCAAAACTACGATCTGTGGATGAATGAATGTGTCCTTTCTATAAACAGGTGTGATGTATGGGTGTGACAGAAGTCGAATTTTTGTTCATAGATGGCGTCACTGGAAAACAAGAGAAGTCACACCCCTTGCCTTAAGTAAAATTTGTTCGCATTAGATAGGGGTTATAAAAATGTTAGGATTGTGATTAAAATTTATAGTTGTTCAAAAGAAGTCAAAGGTTAAATGTAAAACTTACCTTGAAGGCCTGTTTTGGATCGGGAGGCATAGCCATTGCTGGAGCAGACATCTGGTCTTGCATTGCACGAGTTTGATCAGCAGCTTTGAGAAAAAAATAATTTTCATATTAGCCTTAAATGTAATAATAAAAAGACAAACGGAAATCAAATGCCTATTTTAAATTTAATAATTTAGAACCAGAGTGCTCCAATTGTAAGGAACCTCTAACTATTATAAATATTTTAACCCAGTGCGGCAAATGTAAATATCAGAGACTATGTCATTTTGGTAGCTTACATCCGTCATTATTTTTACTAATTGGAGATAATCTTCAGTCTAACATTTTCTCATACCTTAAGGACAGTGGCATTTATACATCTAGTTTTTACACCAGAACAAAATTGTGAACCTAGTTGTAAAATATCCACTTAGTTGAAGGTGCAATATAGCCAAAACTCAAATCAAATGTAATAATTTAGCACATAATTCAATATATTCATGCTTCATCTTATACAAAAAAAAATTGTAATAAGCAATAACAATAAATAAAATTCTTAAGAACTCCAAACCAGCATCAGCTTGAGTTTTTAGTTAAATTTCACTTTTCTTATTTTTCTCCCCTTAATATGGAAGATACCTTGTAATAATTATCATGGGTCACAATGTATTTATCTGGGGAGAAAAAAAGATACTATTAAGCTGTCTGTGTTCAAAAAGATATATTAAATAGGATGTAGTTAAATGTTTGACTTCAGATTGTAAATTTGATTATGATTGTCTAAGTTAAAAATTAAGATGTGAATAGTATCACAAAGTACAACTCTTTCCCTTTTGAAAAGAAAGCATTTTTTTCACAGCAACTCTAGTAAATGATAAAAATAGATGACAGATATTACGAAGCATTAATCTATCTTGAATTTACATTCATTTGAGTAAAAGTACTTGCAAGAAAAAAATAGCCATATTTTTCTCTTTACAGTCACATTTTAGAGTTTGAAAGTTATAAATTTCTTCATATTTTTGCTCTTGTCTTACTAATTAATGTAGAATGAAACTTTGCATGCAATTTATAACTTACCTCTAGGATTATGATTTAAGTAGGCAGTAAAATAAAATTCTCATGATCTCTATATACTGAATAAGTTTATTAAGAATATACTTTACATCAACTTAATTCGGTAGTGTTGTGGAAGCTAGAGGGCGATTCCACCATAAACGAATGTCATATTTGCAGACTTTAAAATTAGAGTAGGTTTGAAATCTTTTTTACTTTAATGAATTCAAACAACTGCTTTAAAAAATATTCTCTGTCAAACTATGTTTTTAAAAAAAATTCTAAAATATGCTTATTAAATTAGGATTAAAATTTCATGAATTATTTGCACAACTCACCATTATTCTCCCCCAAGACTAAGGCATAAATGCTTCTAAGACCAAAGACATTCAAGAAGTACCAAGATGCTGAACTCACCCTATGTAAATAAAATTAAAAAAAAAAATATGCAACATGAGACAGTAAAAATTAATGTAATAGTGATGAGACAGATTTAGACCAAGCATCAGCAAAAAAATTACTATACAGGAAACTAATTTACTCAATTATTAGAAAGTTATAGTTAAAATTACAGTTAGAAATGTTCAAAGAAATATTTTTGACACTTCTCTTTTAATTTTTGAGGAGAGAATTTTAAACTAGAGACCTTTTATATAGAAAACCACTATAACTTCTAAACTGGTAGTCCAATTAACTTGTGATTTAGCATATAAAAGAAACCACCAAAAACTAGATGACAATATTGTCTAGATGACAATATTCCTTTCCTCTTTACTTTTTTTCACTCACCCTCCTGACAAAATCTAATGTGGGAGATTATGTTAAAAGATAGTTTTCGAACTCATTTTAAGTAAATTTATGAAACACGTAACAATTTCTTTTTAAATACACGTAATATTTAAAATTAATTTAAAAACATGTATCTAATTTACCAGGAAGCATCGAGTGACAGCAATTCTATACCTCTCTGCAACATGGGCTTGAATCGTAACGTCAGAGGAAAAGGAACTTTGGCTAAAAAGAGGAAAAATATTATTTTTGATAAATTTGGATAATGAAAAAATATGTAATTTCATTTTATAACTGTTGTTGAACAGTCAAACCAATTTTGAGTTTATAAGACTGTCAATGTTTAACTCCATAGCTTTGTTACTTTGATCCCAGCCCAGAAAACAAAAAACTTCTTTATTACGCATCGGGAGATAAACTAATCTTCGTGGAGGACTTTTTGATAGAACTAACCCACATTCGGGTAACATGGAAAAGAAAACCACAAAAAACCCCAACCGTTAGCCTGGAGGGAATTTTAACCTATGATCCATTTCCCACTGAGTATATTTTGTACCAGCACTGTGGTCAGTCTCAGCAAAAAACAGCATTTGCATCAAACAGTTATTGCTGTGATTCGAGTCTGGGTCAATTCATTTGGAGGCGAATACCCTATCTCCTCAATTACTGCAGCTACAATATATGAATATTATCATGATCACTAAAAATATGACAATACAAATATTTTGAATGAAATTATCTCAGCATTATTGTAAAAGCTTAGGACAGCACCCAAGAACTGCAGTACTTTATAATTGTAAATAATAAATTCAATATAAGGAATGACAAGAAAAAAGTTATAAGGTATAATACTATCCAGTCTTCAAAGATATTAATCCACTAGATATAATTTTGCATGAAATTAAATGTAACAACTTCACAAATATGAAATAATTTATTAATTTAACTTTTTTTTAAAAAAAATATTCGGCATAACATCACTTTTATTAACATGTATATGCACAACTCATTTATGTATTCTTTATTAGGTAAAATTCATTTTAGAAAATGTTACAGTACATGGTATTACAAACGTTATGGTACAGCAAAAAAAAAATATTTAAAGAAAACATTTTTTGATTTAACACATGATTTACCCCATTTAAGACTGTCATTTTCTTGTGAATAAGGCCAAAATTCGAAATTATTCTTTTGATTGTTACTAAAGCTATTATACATAATAAAATAACATGTCACAAGGAAATTTATTTTAATAACTGTACTAAATATTAATAGTAATTTAATAAAATCCTTGAAATTACTGACTTATTTAAACAAACATTTATATCTTATATAAATTATAATTAGTTCACTAATCAATGAACTAGTTATACATTAATATAATTAACATTAGTTCACTAATATTGGAAATATTCATGTACATATAAACAGGAGTGCAGAAAATTCTCATATCCTAATATTCTTCTATGAACAAAGTTTCTCTATGGGATCAAAATTTTCCAAAAAATTTAAGCCTTTTTATTCAGTACAATAATTTTTAAAAAATATATTTTGGAAAATAGAGTTTAAATTAGATAAAAAATTCATTTGATTTCACAAAATTCTTGAATAAATGAGCATATGTGTTATAAAATAATAGAAATCAAAATATATTGAAATAATGATAATTTATTAAACTAAATTTAAAATCCCTTTTATTAACTTAAGGAATTAAAAGTAATAAATACACAATTTTTTTTAGATCAAAATTTCCCCCATAGCTGCTTAAATTTCCTCCAAAGCCTTGTTTGCCTGGTAAGACATTCTGTTCCAATGAATATAATTAATAACAACAAATATTGAGAATCAATAAAAAAATTATATGTTGAGTTCAGATAATTATTGGCAAACACTTTAATTTTACTTAATCTAAATAATTCTCTTCCTAAATTGTAACATACAAGAATTATAAATCAAAATTTAGATTGATACTAATTAACAACTAATAGTTATTACAAGCAATATAAACCCAATAGTTACATTGATAATAATTAACAACTCATAGTTATAACCTGCAACATAAATCCAATAGTTACAATATGGGTCTTAAATTACCAATTACAAAATAAGATTACCATTAGAAACACCAATTAAAAGTTTCAATAATTTTGGAGACTTTTTTTATCTGTGATACGTACTATAAATCGAATAACCATAGAAGTATATAATGCAAGCATTGGGCTTGATTTAGTATCTAATAAAGTGTCTCTAATGTCAAAAAGGAAACTTGCCCTGGGTTTTTGAAACTTTTCAACGAGTTTTTGAAGTGTCATGTCAGAAACCAGTTTTTGACATCAAAAACCCAACCCTAGTCTGACTCCAACGTCCCAAGATCACTCATACATGATCTCAATTTGACACTCTAGTATTACTGTCTATACGTACTCTTAAGTACATATAGTTTGTCTAAATTAAGAACTCCCCTAGCCATACGTCTGGACCCATGGAGGTGCTATGATAATGTGGTAAAATAATTTCAAGTAGGGGTCGGAGGTCATTGTTTAGGATAGGTTTCGGTTCTGGTCAGCAAGAGAATATTTTTCTTCAGTCTATTGTGTTAGCCCTAGTGTGAAGAGATGCTACCCTCCCTGACAGTCGAGGACTCAGATTTAACCCACTTAGTAAAAACAGACAAAATTGAGAAAATGTTTCTCTCCGATACAGCTGTTTCTCTATCTAGCAACATGAAAAAACCAGTTTTGCTATGCCATATCCTCCAACGTTGGAGAAATAAAATAACAGAGATTTTACTATCGACATTGTTTAGGTTACGAGTAAAGTTCTGATGCATCATCATGTAAGTCAAAAATAAGAACTCAAAATTGGAAATAGCATAAGCACTTACGTTTAGCGAAGTAAAAAATATGTATATAAATCTTAATCTAAAGAAGATTTTTTTAAATCATTATTTATATTACTTAAACTATTAGCACTCATCATACTGAAGTACTGGCAATAACACCATCTGTTGAGGAATAAGAGAAGTATTTTTGCCATCAGTGGATATTTTATTGGCAAAAAAAAAAAAGTTTTTTTTAAATTTCATCAACAAATACAGAGAAATTTGAGAATATACGGATAAACAAGTGTAAAATACAGGATTCTTCGTTAAAAAAGAGGGAAACTTGGCATGTAGATGCTATGCAGAGAAGACATCTGGTTAATATATGACTTTTTACGTTCAGAACCAGTAAAATTAATGAGCCCTGGGATCAAATTGAACAAAGATTAACATAATTTATGCATACTTGTTACAAATCCAGAAAATGTCCAGTTGATCCACCCTCCAATTATAATCATGGGCAGAACATTTGTGAAGTTTCCTTTCACCATATCCGTCATCATACTAGGATCAGTCATTGGGTTTTGGGCAGGGGGGTTACGCTTTTGAGTCTTGAAGTAACCCAGATCTTCATTATTAAAATAATGTTTGCGCATCAGGAAAGCCTGTAAAAAAGTATGTATTTATCTGTTATTAAAATAATAGTTATACACAAGCCCTGCAGCGCAATTTTTCCGAGCTTTCTGCTACAAAACTCTCTACCACTAGTATCTTTCTGCAAGATACTTTTAATAATAACAAAAATATATGTTGCTAATTTAAAATAACAAAAACGCTGTGCTAACAACAAAAAAAACTGTATATAATATTTTTTTAATTGAACATTCAATATTTTTTTATTCTAATATTGTGGGTGATATTCTCGCATTTTGTTGGGAGGAAAATGCACTAATTATTTACTTTTTTGCAATTTGTAAATAATCACAATAAAAAAATAATAAAGGCCCAAAAAAGTTAGAATGCATCATGTTGGGGATAACATAACGTTATAACAACTAAATCTAAGATGTACTTAGCTTGAAAGTAATACTTGCGCTTTACCAGAGCTAATAGTGATGCATAAAAAAAAAAATTAGAGCATCATTTTACAAAAAGACTAGAACTAACTTAAGTGTAGCACTGAAAGTAAGCTAAAAATAAATATAATAAATCCTTCTATTTATTTTAACACATATTTAACATTAAAAAAAAATATTTTTAAAGGGTAAATGCAAGTTAAGATAAATAACTAAAAAATAATGTTTTTTACCAGCAGATAAACAAAAATATTTAAATAAACAATAAAAACATAATATTTTTAATCACTAGCTATAAAATAAAAATTACTAAAATATGAACAAAGTTGCAATAAAACGAAACATAATGGGGGAACTTGTAATACAATAAAATAAAATAAAATTTCAACAACTAAGTCATCCTAAAAAAATAATTTAAACAAACTAAATTAATAAAATTTCATACAAATAATCTGTATTTAATTGAAATTACAATGTGTTTAATCAAGTGACAAACCTTTCTAAGTATAGAAATAATTAAAAACAAAGAATAAAAGATTTTTTAATGAAAGTAAATATGATTCCCCATGAGTCAAATTTTGCAAATGATACTGCACCTCCAAGCAAAATAAGAAGTAATTCAATTAAAAAATACCATTTCTTTATAGATATCAGATAAATAAACACAGCAGATGATTAAAAAAAATTCGATAATTAATGTATTACCCAAAACTATAAAATGATAATCTATCATAATAAATCGAAGATAATGAAAATTGAGAAACAAAATTGATTTTTAAAAAAAAGAAACTAACATGTCAATACTTTGAAAACAGAAATTTCAACTTCCTTAATTCAGACATCCAATCGACAACACTCCAGCAATGTTTAAGACTAATAGAAGAATCTTAAGAACACACCTAATGATGGTCAGTCCAGAAAAATATCTGACTATATTTTTTTTTCTATCATACAAGCACAAATTACGGTATTGAAAACAAAAAAGAGAAATCTCGTAATGCAATATGGTGTCAAATTTCCTGAAATTTCCCAGCTATGGGAGGAAATTACATTTTCCCCTTACCTTTTTTTTAATCTTGTTTTCCCTGACAATTCATGGTTTTCTTGTTTCAATTCCTGTTTACAATCCCAGCGTGTGCAAACTTTGTTAGATGTTTAATATGTTACATGTTAGATATTAACAAACTACATATAAAAAATACATAATTTAATATTAACAAACCTGTCTCGGAATGTATTTTCCATTTTCCCTAAGTAGCCTGCTCCGAATTATCGCTTGGCTAAAAAAATATAAAACATTTTGCTATAACATATGTAAATCATTGGTCAAGAAGACATTAATTTAAGTAATATTAATATAGAATTCATCATTAATTTCTAATCAAATATCTTAAGAAGAAAAAAAATTTAAATCTTGCATAATTTACAAATTATTGCTATGAAAAAGACATGTGACAAATTCAAAAACACATTTTATTTACCTTACTTGTATTGAATAAAATAAAAACATTGATACAAACTTTTGGAGAGATAATTCATTTAGTTTCATAGTTATGCAAATTTGTTAAGGTTTGGCAAATAATAATAAATAAGGGAAAATTAAATGTAATGAAATCATTTGAAAATAAAGTATTAATCAAGGTTCAAAATGTAAATTCGAGTAATTTAGGAATAATTTACATGAATGTGTTCTAAAATGACCAATTAAGTTTTTCCTAATTTACAAATTATTCCTGTGGAAAAGTACATTACATTCGTAAATAATGTGTCTTCATTTTAATGAACAATAGATTTAAGGTCAGTTTGAACGGATTTAATTAAATACATCTTAAAAAATTTGGACAATAATTTCCTTTTTTTAACTAGTCTGTAACTTATGGGAAGATTTTCGTATCCTAATCTGTGGCAGAATAATTGCCAAGTCTTGGAAACTTCCAAGCAGCGGCCAGCGAGAAACTTAAAAAAAACATCACAGAAAGGGACAACTCGAAAGGTATAACTCATAACAACCCCTGGAGAAACATCTGCATGTCTTTTTTCTTAAAAATTGGCAAGTTTAAAATCTATTTGGGAACTTGGCAAATGTAGCTGGCGCAATAGATCATGATACAGAAATATACCCAAATTTATTATGGCTTAGCAAATAACAATAAAGTGGACATCTTTTGAAAATAAAATTTAAACCCAGGTTCAAATAGAAACTAATTTAATTAAACCTCTTTCCAAAATTAATGAGTAATCTATATTAATGTGCCTTAAAACAGGCAATTAAATTTTCCAGAAATAAAAAAAACCGAAAAGGGCCAACTACAATTTGATGCGCCAACGCTTAGGTTTGCAAATTTAAAAAAAAAATAAAATTAAAAAAAAACAAGTGGATGTTGGCCCGAGGGTGGATAAGTGTTACACTTTTCGAGTTGGTCCCTTTCTGTGATGTTTTTTTTTCTTTCTTTTTTTCTCGCAGGCCGCTGCCGTAAGTTGTCAAGACTTGGCGATCATTCTGTCACAGATCGCGATACAGAAATCTCCCCCTTCCAATTGATTCTCTTTAGTCATAGTTTGAATATGCAAGAAAATTCGAATGCGAAATTTTTACATTTTCCTGGAATCAAATAAGAATGCAGGATTTTTTTCCATGCAGCTGTAAACTAACATATAAAAATTTCCTACTAAATAATATAAATAGAAATTTAGCTAAAATTAAAGAAAATATTTTATTAAAAGTCTACCTATCTTGTACTTGGAGAAGTTCAACTTTTTTAGGAGATGTTAACAATATCGATATATAATGGCGAACTATACCGAAAAGGAAAGTAATAATAACAATGGGAAGGAAAACCCATAAGCGAATGTCGGGATCTAACAAGAGTTCAGACATTTAAACTAATTGTTATTTGTATAAAACCAGGAAAAACAAAATTTAAATTGCTGTTTACAGTTTACGAAACAGTGCGATTGTTGATTGTAGAAAGAGAAACCGAGCGACATGCTCTTTATCAAAGCTTATAACTCTCTAATCCCACTAACTAAACCGATAGATGAGGCTTGACAAACAGCAGACAAAAAAAAAATGAAAAACGGTTTTGTTGAGATTTGAGCTTCATGCGAGGATCGCGAGACAAGTTCACGACATCGGTTCAGCCTGACGATACAAGTTCATGTACAAGTCAAATCTTTACGAGCAATCTCAAATAAAGACATTCCAAACGAAAGTGATTGTTGGTGAATGGGTGCGATATTTCTGCAGTACGGTCCTTTTGGGCTTTGTGTCAATTTGCGCTTTTGTTACATCGCATTGGTCGGAAGTTATACAGTATATGAGCAAAAATTATTCCGTTTTAAAGCTTTTAAACGTAATTAGTAATGTATACATACTTAAATAATAGGATACATTGTGGTCCTTCCTAGTTGGTCTGTAATAAATTTCCTTGGTGTGGTTGTTGTTGTTAATTTACGTCGCACTAGAGCTGCACAATGGGCTATTGGCGACGGTCTGGGAAACATCCCGGAGGATGATCCGAAGACATGGTATCACAATTTTGATCCTCTGCGGAGGGGATGGCACCCCCGCTTCGATAGCCCGACGACCTGCGAGCGAAGTCGAGCACTTTACAGTAGCACAGTTTAACGAGGACCAATACCGCACACCCTCGGTCCCTACGCAGACTGATCCAAGTGGTCACCCACCCGCACACTGACCACAGACAGTGATGTCTTGGTGTGGTAATATAGCACGTAAAAATATATCTGACTGAGTTTGAATATAAAGGAGCGATACGGAGTCATTTAAATGTACAGCTCTTGAAGTGATACGCCCCCTTTTTTCTATAATCATTTCCCGGAGTCCCTAATTTGTTTAAAAAAAATTTCTTTAGAATGGCAGTTTAATATGTTATAATATAATACTTGACCGACTTTGAATATTATTATAGGTTTATAATGCGTGGAGTTTAAGGACCTCACACATATGCAGTATATAACGCTCTTTGAAATAAGTACGTACATACTTAAATATTGTACAACATTAAGGGTCAAAAATTTGTCTATAATACTTCCATTTATTATAGCACAATAATATGATATAATATAATACCTGACCGAGTTGAGTATTACAAATTAAAGTTAATGTAAGATATGGAACCATGTCCATATGCAGTATATGAGCAACACTGTCTCAATTTTAACTCTTTAAAACGAAATTATATATATATATACATACTTAAAAAATGTGCCTCATTGTGAACCTCTTATTTGTCTATAATAAATTTCTTTGGTATGGTAGCATGCTACAATATAATACCTGACTAGGTTTGAGTATTATGGATAAGTATTAAGGGGCGATACGGAGCCATTTATGTATACAGATTTTAAAATGCCACGCCCCGTTTTTCTATAATTATTTCAAGGATTCCTTAATTTGTTTATAATTATTTTCTTAGTTATGGTAGCATGTGTTACAATATAATAACGTTATATTCTAACGTAACGTTATATGTTATAATGTAATAACCTGATTGAAATTGAATATTACAAGTTTGTATAACAGGGAGGTATGGGCCATATACATAGGCAGTCTATAAGCAACAATTTCTTTATTTTTAAAGCTATTTAACGCATTTTGAAATAGATACAAACATACTTAAAATATTGAACCACATTGTGGGCCCTTTAATTTGTCTGCAATAATTTCCTTTGGTATGATACTATAATATGTTATAATATAAGACCTGGCCGAGTTTGAACATTATATAGATTACTATAATGGGGAGTTACTGGACCATGTATTTATACAGTATATGAGCGAATATTTCTCTATTTTACCGCTTTAAAACGTAATTAGAAATATATACATACCTACTTAAATAATGTGCCACATTGTCCCCCTAATTTTTCTACAATAATTTATTTTGGCATGGTACTATAGTGTAATATAATATAACATTTGACAGATTTTAAATATTATAAGTTAATATTAATGAGAGATATGGGATCATGTATATATGCATTATATGAGCAAATATTTCTCCATTTAAACCCTTTATAACGCAATTAGAAATATATACTTACATATTATGTCGCATTTTGGGCCCCCCTGTTTGTGCACAATTATTTCTTTTGATACAGTTCTATGGTATGTTGTAATATAATATCTAACTGGGATTAAATATTTCAGGATTATATTAAGGGGAAATATGAGGCCATATTATATGCAGTATATACGCAACAATTTCTTCATTTCAAATCTCTTTTACGCTTTGAAAAAATATATACATTCATACTCAAATATTATGCCACATTGTAGGCCCCGTAATTTGTTAATAAATTCCCTTAGTACGGTTCTGTAGTATATCTTTATATATATATTTCGACTGTTCGTGTGTATGTCACTGAACTCCTCCTAAACGGCTGGACTGATTTAAATGAAATTTTCTGTGTACCTTCAGAAGGATTCGAGAATGGTTTAGATTCACAATAGAACATTCTGCCNGCCCCCCTGTTTGTGCACAATTATTTCTTTTGATACAGTTCTATGGTATGTTGTAATATAATATCTAACTGGGATTAAATATTTCAGGATTATATTAAGGGGAAATATGAGGCCATATTATATGCAGTATATACGCAACAATTTCTTCATTTCAAAGCTCTTTTACGCTTTGAAAAAATATATACATTCATACTTAAATATTATGCCACATTGTAGGCCCCATAATTTGTTAATAAATTCCCTTAGTACGGTTCTGTAGCATATTATAATATAATACCTGACCGAGTTAAAATTTCATAGGTTAATATTAAGGGGAAATATGGGCCGTGTATATAATAGTATATGAGCAACAATTTCTCTATTTTAACGTTTTAAAACGCAATTAAAAATACATGTTTACATATTATGCCACATTGTTTCGTCCTAACTTACGTACAATTATTTCCTTTGGTTCGGTACTAAAGTACATTATAATATAATACCTGACCCTGTTTGAATATTATAGGTTTATATTAAGGGGAGATAAAGGACCATGTATACATACTGTATATGAGCAACAATTTCTCCATATTAAAACGTTAAAATGTTTTAAAACGCAATTAATAATATAATATCTGACTGAGTTGGGCCAACAATGTGGCATATTATAACCTGTAATATTCAAATTATATTAATTTTTATATTATAATGTATTCTTCCACATTGTGAGTCCCTTAATCTGTTTATAACAATTTCCTTTGGTATGATACTATAGTATATTATAATATTTAATATGATGGAGTTTGAATATTATAGTTTAATATCCAGGGTAGATATGGGGTCCTGTACTGTATACGAGCATCTATTCCTCCATTTTAACGCTCAAAAACGCAATTAGAATTATATGCATACTTACTTACAAATTATGCTACATTGTGAGGCCCCTAATTTGAATATATTCCCCCCCCCCTTTTTATGGTAATATAATATGTTATAGTATAATTTTTGACAGAGTTTGAATATTATGGGTTAATAGGAAGGGGAGATATGGGGTCATTTATAGATGCGACTTTTAAAACACCATGGCCCCTTCTTTTTCTATAATATAATTGTTTCCTTTGGTTGTGGACCCCTAAATTTGCTTATATTTACTTCCTTTCGTAGGGTAATATAGTATGTCATAAAATCATTCCTGGCCTAGTTTGAGTATAGTATTATGGGTTAAGATTAAGGGAAGATATGGGGGCCATATATGTGTACATCATGTGAGCAACAATTTCTATATCTTATCGCTATTTTACGCACTCTGAAATATATACATACTTAAATATTGTGCCACATTTTTGGGCCCCTAATTTGTCTATAATAATTTCTTTTGGTATGGTATAGTTTATTATAATATAATACCTGACAGAGATTGAATATTATAGATTAATAGTGAGGGGAGATACCCATTTATATGCACAGCTTTTAAAGTGCCACGCCCCTTTTTTTTGTAATTGTTTCCCTTGGTTTTGGGCCCCTTAATATGTTTATATTTATTTCCTGTCATAGGGTCGTAGGAGTAGCATCGAGGGGGGGGGCACAGGGGCACCCCCTCAATAATTTTTCATAACTCCAGAATTTTTTTAAGCTATTAAGAATAATAATAAAAAAATAAATTCTCTTTAGTAAAAAAAACAATAGCTTTAGATAGTTTATCAATAATTTAACGAATTAATGTTTATCACTTTCATATACGTGCTAACTTAAAAAAATATATAAAGATTTTCTTAAAAATTATTTCGACTATTTCTTAAGGATTTCAGCATTAGTTTATAATTTTGGTTACTAAAAATTTAATTTATTTTACGCACAATATAATTTTTTTAAAATTACAATTATGTTCGATTAACATTCTGTAATTATTTTGGAAGTCACTGCTTACTTTATAAAACTGTCGAAAGTTATAAGTGCGGTTTAAACCTATCTTTGTTTTATAGCATTAAAAAATATCCTCCAGCTTTTTTTTAACTCTAAATTTATATTCGAATTTGTTCAAAGTATAAATTTCTAGGTTTAATTTAATAGAAAAAAAGTAAACCATTCCCGTAACAGTCCTTATAGTGGTCTAAGGGAGGTGATTGTGTAGACTCCAAAATTTTGTGAACAATGACACGATTGTAGTAATATGGTCAGCATTGCGCACATGCCGCCTTTACCTCACAGACAAACTTGTATCCATCTATCTGGAGCTGGGTGGGCTTCAAGCCACCCCTGGGGTCAATTTGCTAGAATGCTTCAGTCTATTATTCGTTTAACTATTGTAAAATAAGTTCCATTTCATAAAATATACTTCTTCCATTACTGACTAATTTGAAAAGTAGAGCACGAACTTGTTCCTATAGAATCTGTAATAAACCATTTTATTTGATTAACAAATAACATTTAAAAACTTAGCACAGGACTTAGAAGATCGGATTTCACTAAATGTCCAACGTAAAAAATATTTAAAAGTGACACATTTTTGCTCATAGAAAAAATAATGCTTTTCTTTTAGATTTTAAGGGAATTTTATGTCAACGAATTACATTGTTAAATAATAAATTATGGTGGAGGTGATTTTCTCATA